TTTAAAAAGAAAAGGGGGGGGAGAGCGATCAAACAAAACCTAGAAATGGGGGTGGGGGCCTGAGAAAGGAATGACAGTAGTTGGAAAAGCATGGCAGAATGGAAGATGAGAAATGCTGGGTCATGATGGCCTGTGAGCTAAGGAGTATCAGCGAGGATTGGAAATAGAATACAGAGAAGGTAAGAGTTGCAAGTCTACACATGTAGACAGTTACATAAAATGGTTAAAACACACATAATCTTCCAATAAGATATTTTATTGATATGAAATCTTTCCAAAATCACTTAATACAAGAATTCATATTTGATTACATGAGTAGATATTTGTTTTATAGAAAATAACATGAAATGATAACTTTCCTAGAAAGTGGTGGTGAGAGAATTCGTCAATCTACAGCCCTCAAAACGTGACAGGGAGGCAGAGTCTTTGAACCTGTAGTTCTGACAGCATTGGTCCAGGATGTTTCCAGATAACCTGTTCTGAGGGAGATTTGGGTGCATAATAAAGTCTGAAATTATGACTCGTGCTTTAATCAATGTAAACTCTACGTAATTCAATTAGTTTAGGATATTTCTCTGATTTAAGAACTCAAATATAGATATGGATTAGCAGCTCACTTAAAATCATAGACATTGAAACACAGATTATCGAATAGGTATAGATTAAGACTACCCTACAGTCTGTATTTTCAAAGGCACATTGCACTGCTTCGGCAGACAGGTATCTTGCTTGACACCAAACTTGTCATTTGCTGGATCTCTGTGACCCCTCTGAATATTAACATTCCATTCCGAGGCCCTGTTTTTCCATACCAGTTAAAGTTTCATAACAAATTAAAGAGCTATAGAAACCACTCAGATATTTTCACATACATCAAAGTACCACATTCAAAAGGTCAAGGATGTAAAAACTGACCTTTACATTTATAGCAATACAGTGTTTATTTATTATTTTAACAATCATCAGAGAAAAATAAGAACTTTCAAATAATAGTTAAAATGGATAAAATCTTCTCCTCAAAGTATTTCTTCAGATGTTAGTAAGTACTCAAATATTTTTCACTGGAATTGTATATAACTATATATATTTTAATACAGCTAAAATGTAAGATTAAATGTGAATTCATCTATATTCCTAGTCCTACTCAATGTGGAGTTATATCTTAAATATAAACAACTATGTTTAAATGAAATGTAAAAGAATATACTCTATAATTTTTAAAATGTAAAAGGCATAGATCCAGAGCCTAAATAATCCAGAACCAATGTATTTTAAGATATTTAGCATGGAAATGCTTATCTCTGCGCAGAATTTCCCGTAAATAATGTAACGAGTTAAAACACTGTCTCTGGTAGAAGAGGAAATCCAGATGAATACGGATATTAAGGTCCATTAAGAAAGTCTAGGAACTGTCAAAGGGAAATATGAAACCCTCAGCCATCATTCTCAAATTATTACTAATTATGTTTTGAGATCAATCTCCAGTACTTTGTAGGTGATGAATATGGCTTACTGGTGACAATGCTCATATACTAGAAAGGCAACGGGTAATTCCTGGAAGTCATTGGAAGGGGAAAAAAATCACACAGATACATTTGGCTTCTTATTCTAGAAGCATGAGAAAAGGAGACACTATTCAACTAGAACCATTAAAAGAGCAATTAGGTGGATAGATGTAAAAACAAACAGTCATGTTGGTGACAGCATTCCACTCTCATGTTTAAGATACAAAGGTCTCCATTTCTCTAAAGGAACTGCCCTTTCGGTAAGACACATTCTCTCTCTCGCCTTGGAGCCAAGTAATTGGAACTCTGAACACACGACGGAGCTTCTGCTGGAATCTTTTTCCAACAAAACAATACAGGAAGGGATTAATGCAGCTGTTGGTGAATCCCAAGAGGATGGTAAAAGGAAGTGTCAGGTCAATGACTGCTATAATTTTACAGCTATTAATGACACCCATCCAGGCCAGAGCATCCAGGAAGGTCAGAGCATGGAAAGGAAGCCAACAAATGATGAACGCCAGAACAACAGCAGCTGCCATCTTAAGGACTTGGTCACGGGTTATTCTGTTCTTCCCATAACTATTGGCCTTCAGTAAGTGCTTTCTGATTCCAAAGTAGCATGTGGCTATGAATATTAAAGGGATAATAAAACCAAGGATATTTTTCATTAACGCAATCCCGGCTGACCACTGAGCATATTTCTCAGGTGGGAAAGCCATGATGCAAGCATTCACTCCTAAGTATTCAATGGTTCTGACATCCCGAAAATAAAATGTTGGCAGCGAGGCCAGACAAGCCATGCACCAGACAAGGGGGACAATATAAGATGTTTGCCAGGGATTTCTTCTTTGAGACAGAAAGGGGTAGATAACCGATTGGTACCTATCAACACTCATGCAGGTGATAAAAAAAATGCTCGCAAACATGTTCAAGGTGAGGAAAGAACTGGAAACCTTGCACATCACAGGTCCAAAGAGCCAGTCATATCGATAGGAATAATAGCTTGCCCAGAGAGGAAGGGTACCCAAAAGGAGCAGGTCAGCCATGGCCAGGTTGAAGATGTAAATGCTGGAAACCTTTTTAGGGCCCTTCTGACAACAAAACAGTGTAACCACAACAATATTGACAAGAAATCCAATCACAAAGATAATGTAGTAGAGAAAATGAATTGCATATAAATGTTTATCTGACGGTTTGTGTGCGCAGGTAAAGGTAGATGCATTGGCTCCAGAGTTGTTCAGGGGTTCGAAGTCAAGACCGCTGGTCATGTTTTCATAGATAGTGGTGAGAGTGTGGTTGCCCTTCATACTGAAGTGTCAGCAGCCCCGATCCTCACAACTTCTGTGAGAAAAAGAAATCAGAACCTTTTAGAACACATGCAGAGCTCAGGGCATCATTGAGACATGCACATTTTGACACTTTGTTGAAAGCCAGAAAAAGTGAATGACTGGAGAAAACCATTTAAAACAGAACAACACCTCGTGAAATGAAAATGGATTTTTGCCTCTTAAGGGAGGAAAGACGATCTTCTCAATGGTAGTAAAAAGCAAGCTATGTTAGACTCAGAGACTGACAATTCTGACTAAAACTATACTTAACCCATCTGTTGTATCCTATTTTCCACAGGTTTAAAACAAATTAATATTTCAAAAGGTTGGTTTGGGTTGGAAATGTGTCAAAGAACTAAGAGGTCCAGAAATAAGAAAAGTTAGTATTTCAAAAACACTTGAACACATCTCTCAGACTGTAAACTTCCCAGAAATCATGCTGCTACCTATTTCATAGAGAAATGCCTTATGCAAGTAACTAGTTCTATATAAATCATTATGGCTATGGAAAATACAAGTGAGTGTACAAAAGACTGAATGAGAATGTGCAAAAATTAATGTTTCGGGGGGGAGGAATCATGATTGAGAGGAAATTATGGCATATGTACAAATTTCTGCCCAAGTTTTAATATAGGATGCTGTATACATATGTGTACACATATTTATATAGTGACTTAATCTATTAAATTGAAAAATAATCCAATATCAAATCAATTAGTGAAAAGCAGCAACACCAAACAAGCCCATCTGGTTTAGGATCCAGTCGAAATAGTTCTGATTGCTCAATGAAATAATTCAACATCAATGATTGATCATAATATAATTTATCATTTTTCCCCTTACTCTTCTTTCATTTTAACAGAACTAAAGAGTCAATTGCTGTCAAATGTTCTCGTCAGTCATCAAGCACTTGTACTGTCAGTTGTTTTCTGGATTTGGCTTGGGTTTTTTCCCCCACTAGCCACAATACTTTAAAACAATGAAGAGGAAATTAATTGAGGGTAAGCACATTAAGGGGAAGCACTTACTTAGATTGTTTCAAAACACATCCACCCCCCCCTCAATAAAAAAATGTAATCATTAAAACTATCACCACTAATATCACTTTTGTCTACAACTCATTTTTTTCATAGTCTCTATGACTTAACAATTGACATGAAGGAATCTAATAAAACAAATAACACTGGAAGACTTACTGGTTGTTGAAGTTTAAAACTTAGTTATAAATCAGCTTGACTAGTTCTTACACGCACCCCTGGAAGAGAAACAGCAGTTAAATCATCTAAGATTTTTGCAAAATACTGTTTAAAACACAGAAAGGGGGAAAGGCAAATTAATCCATAAAAAAATATTTTCATTTAATGTATGTTCTACTTTCCCAACTAGAGAATATATATAAATGGTTCAGACTTACCATAAGAATTCAGGCTGAAGAATGTTTTACTTCTGTGCTTATTTGTTCCCTTAGACTCTGGGACGTAATAGCACCAGATCTCTGGTTTCCTTCTTATATGTTCGGTCTGTCCACTGGGAGCCTTCAACCTACATAATTCTAGGACTGACTTATGAACACTTGCCAGCTTTCCAGAGTTCCCCCCACCCCACCCCCTTCACTCTCTCTCTCTTGCTCTCCCTTTTTTTTTCTTTTGGCTGCAAAACATTAATCTGAAATTCTCACTGTCTCCAATCATAACAGCTCACTCAAATAAATCTCAAACAAAAAAAAATAAATTTTCCACAAATGTGTTAGAGAATTTTGAAGTTAGTGGCTTGCTTTAAAAGAATATAATTATTTGCAGAATTTTCTCGTTCTTTCCGCCCTGATATTGGCATTCTCAAATGAGCTAAGGAACGGACACTAGGGAGTTTATGCTAGTAGTAGAGTTTGTGTTCACCACTATCTTCCACCCTCCATTGCATTTTGAAATTGTTACCCTCATTTATTAAAAAGTGATAATAACTTTACTTGAATTCTGCAACTTCTGAAAATTCCCCCTTGCTTTCATCCGGATTTTGTTGGCATATTCCTAGTTGGATGGTGATAGCAGAAAAATAATTTTCATATGTTAGAAAAGAGATATTAACATTCAGTGCCTCCTTCCATACAGCTCTGTCATATTTGCTAAGTTCAAGATCAAGTACACAATGTGAAGCAGATTTGATCATTATTTCAGATGCCCTGGGTAGTTTTTTGTTGTTACTGTTTATTTTGGTGGTGCTAGTGGTTTTTTGGGGTTCTTAAGCACTAAGCCCAGATTGGTGCCACCAGAGCTCCCTAGCTGGGGTAGGAGCAATCAGTCTTCCACAACTAATCCAGGAGAAGTAATAACCGCAAAAAGAAGAAAGATTAGAACAGATGATGGTAGTGATAAAACTAGTTGCCACTTAGTATACTGTATGGTCCAAACTTTGTGCTTCACATTGTTCTTTGCTATCAAGTGGGAACCAACTTATAGCTGATTCTTCAGCAGGTTTTCAACGGCTGCAAATCAAGTGGGAAGAGATTGTCCACCTTTTTCTGGCAGAGCTGCTGGATTTGAGCCATCTCCCTTGGCAGTGCAACTCCCTATCCACTAGGCGGCACACTGGTAAGCACATGGATTTCAGAATCAAACAGTTTGGCTTCCTAAGTCCAACTTTTCTACTTACTGCCTGCCCCACCCCTGCCCCCCCTCATACTTTGGCCAATTTACTTCTCTGCATGTCTGTTTTCTTATCTAAAAAATGAGGGAGGATGATATTAATTACCTACATTCTGGGTTATGAAAATTAAATGAGACAATAGACTTAAGACTTTGGTGCCTGGTAAATCCTACATGAGCAAATTAAGCTTGTACCCATTTAACAGATTAGGAAATGAAGGCTTCAAGAGTTGAAATAGGTTTTATGAAGACACAGAGGGGGGAAATTTGTATTTTAAATGGGGCACTGTAATGCTAGGGTGAAGCCTCTTAACCTCTGTAATTCAGCAGGAAACAGCATCTGGTCCTTTAATCTTCTTGCCTTTTCTCCTGGCAAAAATAAAATATGCAACATGCACAGAGTCGCTGATGACAAGCATTCACAAAAGCACCAAAGAAGGTGAAAAGTGTTTGATGAGTTGTTGTGTTGAGGGAAATAGTTTCCTTAATTTAATTCCTCAAATTGAGACCACAGGAAGGAGTGATGTGTAACTGGATCATTCACCAGAGTTTGCACAGAAAGTCAGAGAACCCAAGAAGCTTCCACGAGCAAACAAATTCCAATTACTGCTAATGGGTCAGGGTTGTTGTGTTTTTTCCCAGAGAAGCAGTAAGAGTGCGCCTAACTAGCTAGAAGCTGCACAAAGGGAGGAGCAGGCTACAAGGCAGAAACCTGGGACCCCAGTGACTAGTTGAGCAGCAGAAGACCAATGAAAGAAAAGTAAGGGTGGGCGGCACAGGACAAAGTTTCAAATGACAAGAGACAAAGCAGATGGCTTTTGACATTTATCTGTTTCTCCATTAGCATTAAAATCAATCCTGTAGCAGATAGACTGATGGGGCCAGGAGGAACAGGTCACAATTGCCTGCAAGATACAATAGCGTCCAGAGGTATGCACAACACCCCAGTAGAATTTCCTTCGGTAGATTGAATTTGTGCATTCAGAAAATGCTCCAGATCCACATATGTACTGTTTTACTAAATCTCAGAAGATTTGTTCCCTGTGATCTGGGCAGATTCAGGTTGAGACCCTGTCGAAATGATGGAAAACTGATGTGTGGGAAACAAATAAGCAGGCACATATGGTTACAGGCAGGAGACTGGAAATGGGGACTGGTTTTACTCTTTGTTTAAGCCTAGTTTCTCCCTCCATTTCAAATGTTTGTTTTTGCCACATAAAGGGGGAGTTTTCCTGGCCAGTGTTTTCTGAATGGTCATGATAGGTCAGATTCCCACCCTGCTCTATTTCTATCCCCCTCCCTTGCCCCTTTCAAAGAAACAGCCAGGAGGTGAGCAATAACTTGTAAGAACGAACTAAAGGCGTGCCTCTGGGAAACCAAGCCTTGAACACCCGGGAGGAGCAGGGGACCTTGTCTAGAGCTTTTGTCCTTCATTTCAGTAAGTTCTGACGTAAACAAAGTTTAAAGAGTCACATATTTCCCAGAAGATTAAAAGACTGTTTACCCTCTTCCTTTATAATTCTAGGAGTAAAAATTTACACAAGTCAGAGAGAAAAAAAAATTAACTGAAGGAAATTAAGGAAAATGGGGGAGGAAGAGGGAAAGAAAATAATGATAATATTGACACCATTTAAAGTGAGAAATATAGCATACTATTGATTTGGCAAAATACTCCCAACAAGCTAGCAATGTAAATATACTTTAGAGTCAAATAAATGTCAGTCATGGGAAGAAATACAACAACAACAAATACACTCTCCTAGGGGTAGGGGACAATTTTTCAGCTGAAATTTTGGCTTAAAAAGACAAATGTTGTTTGTATAAATTATATGGCTTATCAAGATAAATACACCTAGAGTAGAATTATTTTAAAAGGGATAAGTCACATTAAATTCTTTCTTATAATTAATATATAGTCTTTGTCATGAGATTACCCAAAAATAAAGTGCAAAGGACCAGGGTGCAAAAGATGCTCCTAAGAAGAATTTCTCTTCTGCCTAAAGGATATCAAAACAACCAAACCCACTGCCACCCAATCCAACTCCTAGTAACCTCATGTGTTATGGAGTAAAACTACTCCAAAGGATTTCCTTGGCTGTATTCTTCTAAGGAGCAATGATGTCAGTGTAAACACTAAGATGCATATGAATCAAGCCATGGTCTCTTCAATTACTTGTTATGCATATGCAAGTTGAACAATGACTAAGGATGATAGAAGAATCCATGGATTTGCATTGTGGTGTGGGAGTAGAGTGATAAATATCCCATGGACTGCCAAAAGAACGAACAAATCTGTCTTGGAGAAGGTACAAGCAGAGTGCTCCTTGGAGGCAAGAATGGTGGCAAAGCTTCGTCTCACATACTTCGGGCATGCCATTAAAAGAGGCTAGTCCTTGAAAAAGGATATCATGCTCAGAAAAGTAAAGGGGCAGTGAAAGAGAGGAAGAACCTCAACACAATGGCAGCAGCAAAGGGTTCAAGTGTGTCACAGATGATGAGGACGGGAAGGTACAGATCTATTGTTCATAGGGTTGCTGTGGGTCATAGTCAACATGGGCGTGCCTAACAACAACAAATCTTTACTAAAGCAGATGACCAAGCCTTGTTTCCATGGTTCTAATCACTAATCTTAATCTGAAAACATCTTGAGTCACCTAGAGACCTTTACAAGGAAAAAACCCTGACTACACACACCTACCCCCCACACACACAAACACATAAACACAACACTGGCACTGATAACACACACATACACTTAAATTCGCCAACTGACTGGAAGACATCTATATTTGTTCCCATTCCAAAGAAGGGTGACCCAACTGAGTGTGGAAACTACAGAACAGTGTCATTGATTTCACATGCAAGCAAGATTCTGCTGA